CAAATTTTACAGAAAGGTTATAATCTTGGGGCAGTTGCAAATATGCTACTATTGGTATGTACATTTGCAAAATGCCATTTGGGATTGTCCATTTGAAAAAATGCAACTAATTATAAACTTTTAAAGTCTATATCTTAAAATTCTAAACCCTAAAAACTATTTTGATCCCTAAAACTCCCTAACCCCTCAAAACTAAACCCTAAAAAATATTTTGGCCTCTAAAACTTCCTAAACCCTCAAAACTAAACCCTAATACAACATTGTTAACCCAAACATAAATGAGAAATTTCAAAAAATACCACTTTTCAAGTGCCACTTTACAAAAATGTCATACTTTTGAAATCTTTACAAAAATGCCACTTTTTCAAAAAAAAAAAAATTATATTATTTATGTTTGGGTTAACTATATTTTATTAGTGTTTTGTTATGAGGGTTTAGGGGAGTTTAGGGGTCAAAACATTTTTTAGTGTTTATAATTTAAGATATAGGGTTTAAAAATATATAATTAGTGGCATTTTTGCAAATGAACACCTTTAAGTGGCATTTTTGTAAATGTGCACATAAAAAGTGTTATTTTGTAATTTTCCAACATAAATGGTATATCAAATTTTTTTTTTGAAAAACTGACATTTTTACAAAGATTTTGAAAATATGGCATTTTTGAAAAATGCATTTTTAAAAATTTCTCTATAATCTTTTTATGATATTATCTCATGAACCTAATTTATATCATCAATATTTTTGATTTTTTTTTAAAGCTTTACAAGGAATTTTTATTAATTACTTTAAAATTAGTAAGAATTTTCAAAAAAATATTTATTTATAAAAACAGCACAATCACATTACCAATTATTAAACGAACGTTTTTGGCCTAATTCAACAAATTTTAAATATTAGTCCAAATTATGCAACTTTTGTCATCTATATTCTTCAAGTGCAAATGGTAATCAATTGTCACCATCCTTTCACCATTCTTCAAGATGTATGTCACCAGTTACACTCTAGATTTATGAAAAGAAATTTGGCTTTGCAAGAAAGCCAAAGCAATAAGTTCCAATCACAAGGAACAAAAAAAAAGTCTAATCCTAGAAGAATAAGATGGTCCCACCACGAGACAATTAACACATACGTTTTGGGACTCTTGTGTTTGTTTGGTTTGTGGTCGAATCCTCTCACCAAATAAGGCAAGATCACTAGTAACCGAAACAAGATTTGATTTGACTTTTTGAAACGAATTAGTTTTATACTTTTCAGATTGTTAGAACCCTAAACACAAATCATGTTATGTGGATACTAAGAATCTGAGAAAATGAAGTAAGCAATCTTTTTGTTGAGAGAAATGATAATCTAAAACTGCTGATGAGGAAGCTGATAAAGATAAAATGATGGCAAGAAAAAGAAGCCTCCATGCCTTTAATTTATGTTCACTAGTCTCTTTCACTTCACACATACTCTCTTTTGTTTTAATGATTCATCAAGTGATTAACATAAACACATGGCTTTATATTATTTATTCCACTTATTAACCATCTATGATTAGTTTAGTTTTGCATTTTCATTTGATTTCAAAATTTCATTACTAGTTCGAGGTTAGGTCATTATATTTAATACATACCTAACAAAACATGGCCAATCTATTCTCTATCTATTGTCACAATCATGTCCAATATATGCCCTATTGCAATAAATAATAATGCGCATAAAAGAGACGGTGCGGTGTTCATAATTCAAACAAATCATTGTTGATTAACCCATACACAATCAAGTCTCATAGTACCCTTTTGCTTTACGGCTTAAACCTAAATCATGAACCCACTAAAGTAGATGAGATTGAGAATGATGCTGAGAATTCTAAGTCATGATGGTCAGAACAAGAAAAATGGCTGCAGCTAGATGCATTAAGTCTTCCTAAAGAGATTTCATCTGAGATTGGTTCCAAGCTAAAAAATTTGAACCCGAGATGCAAACAGCACCGAGGAAGTGGTTCACGGATCCTAGTTATCAAGAATCAGATTTAGATGCATCGGGTTACAATTTTTTACCTGGAATAGTAGAAGCGAGGTCCATCGCTTTGAGAACTGATGGTCAATTTAACCAAAAGCAGCAATGAATCAACCCTCACAAGGAGAAAGTTGTTAGCCATCTAGAGAACCTGTTACAGATTCAACCAACTAGCTCTTGAACTTAGCTCAGAAAGTCATTAGGGATCACAAAGAACATACAAATCTTCAGTATCACTGTATCAACATCACAATACATATCAGATTGGTTACAATCAATATAGAACACTACAACAACAATAACATATTACAGAGAAGTGTCGGTTTCATTGTGTGTTTAGCCTTAAACAGTTGCAAAATCGAGAAGAGCATCAGTCTAATTTATATCCACCTGAGGAATTGTACCTCCAGCTTGGAGTATTTGTTGCTCTAGCTGCAACGACATTACACAACAGAAACAGAAATATGAGTAGTTGCAAAAGGCTCAGTCAAACATTGTATTAATAAAAAGAATTCACCAGCAGAACAAGTAGGATTCTGCAAAGCTTTGAAACTAACATTAAACAGATCCTGAAGTTTGGTCTTTAACATCTTAGATTCATAATCCACCTGCTGCAAACACCTTAAACACCTGTACCAGAATTATCATAATTCGTGTGTGAATTAGAGGAATAGTTTCTTGGATAATATATTTCAGAAAATCAAACAGACTCAATAACTTTTGCATCAACAAGCTAAACTATACACTGGAGAAGAAGAAACTTGTTTTAAACAGAACTCACCCTTCACGGTTCTGAACATCGCAACATTCCTTGAAAGATATACACACATTTTTTACCCTCATTGCACCAACACTGTGTACAAAGCAGAGACTTAAGCCATTAAATCAATGTACTCTGGTTTCTTAAGATTACATAGACGAAGAAAAGGATCACCGAATCCTCGAAAAACATGATTATGGATCAGGCGAACCAAAGGGAAATGCAAGAAATTCTGTTATACCTTGAGCTACTACCCTTCAGTTGATGGACCCCTGAATCTACCTGTTTGAAATCCACATTTTCTGGCCGCTCCCTAATGTGATAAAACTCATAAAATGCTGTCATGAAACCCATACATTCCAATGAAAACACCTCAAGAAAAAACTTACAGTGATCTAGACATGTTATTAATAAGCTTCGCACAGTCGTCAAAGAATAGAGAGACAACCTCAGATACAAAATCAGGGGAGCTTGCATCTTGCAACTTTCTCAACTCGGAGAACTGATTATCCAGAAATCCCTTCAAAAACCAAATAAAGATACAATCACCCTCAACTTCAAATGCATACACTACCTTTAAAAGTTTATATAACCCTGAAACTATTTCATAACCCAATTCTAAACTCCATCATCAACATAGAACAAAATCTACCCCAATTAATTACACAAAATGATCACATCTAAAAGTTTCACACTTGAGATTTCACCCTAATTAAGAAAAATACTCAACAAAAAATAAAACCAACATTTTTAAGAATCCGTAGAAAGGTTAGGTCAGCAAAACCAACCTGTTGATAAAGAGAAACGATGTAGTCTTGAAATCGTCTCTGCAACTGAGCAATGACGGTGTTCATGGCTGAGTTTATCACGACCCAGAAGAAATGTGAAAATGTAGGAGCTGTTCAGATTAAAAAAAAAAAAAGAAGAAGAAGACAATTGCGAGTTTAAGAACTGCTTGTAACGCGATTGCAGACGATTCACGTCGTAACTATGAGATTCAGATTATACAATATCACTAGAAAAAGCAAGCCAGTAACAACAATGGAGAAGATGAAGAAGAATAGTATTTCTAGTTTCCTTGAAGAGATTAGCTTCAAGAGTCGAAAAACAACTCCGATCGATCTAACCATCTAAATCACAGATTCTGAGCTAACACTACAAACTTCCAACTTAGGATTGAACAAGAGATACGAAAATCAAACCCGTACAAGAAGCGAAAGAGGAAGCGAATTTCGTCGACAAATCTGATCGGAGCGTCAAAGAAATTCCAACTTCCGTTGACTGATTTTGACTTAAATTGTTGGAATAAATATCTTCGGGGATTTAATTAACAGTCATGTTGTGCTGTGCTCTTTAATGATATGGTAAGCATG